TATATATTTTTAAACATTCAATAATATTTTTCCATGCAAGTTGTAGAGTGTATTTACTTTCAAATGTTTACCTGACTTCAACACAAGTCTGTTATGTTTTAAATATCAGCAAACTTATGTTAGCTCGGTAGCTAGTCACAGCTAAAGTTATCATTTAGCTAAACTGACAGGTGTCATTAACCTGAACAACCTTTTATACGTGGAAACAATTTTAGCCGAGTGTGTGGAGTTTTATTTTTGTATAGCAGCCTGGAGACGCCTCATGTTTTTCTTTAACAAGCTAACATAGCAAAGGCTAACATTACCAGCTAGTTTACAGCAGTGGTAAAACCGCCTAATATGCTTTAAGTAGCTCTTTCAGCTACACAAACTCGGGGACTAACGTGTAACCTAACGTTAGCGTCGGCCGAGCTAATAACGTGTTTCCCTGTGAAAACGACAATAAATGTCACTGGAAAATAATGGAACAAGTACTTTTTACTCCACTTTATTTATTCGAGAGCTAGTTGTAGGTACTAAAAATCTACAATGCTTTTATAAAACATGATGGATGCACTGTCACTGATTATACAAGACACGAAATAGTTAAAGTTAGTTCCACCTTCGCAGGTAAACCGTAACATGATACTTACTCATTAATGCGTGCTTAAATATCTAATATCTAATATTTCTGTATTATAAATATTTCTGCTTATAATCTTTATGTAATTTTACTCCTCTGACATGTTCAATGCAGTTAAAATTATTTTTATATTGCAGCTTTGTTACTCTTATTCAAGCTATGGATCTGATTACTTACTATGTCAGTAAATAAATACATTAATAAAATAATATAAATACACCCAGTGGTGTCTCATCATGCAGACTGTTATTTGACCCAATATTATACAAAATTTAGGCCAGTATAATGGAAGAAACCTGTGGTTCCCATAGGTTCCCATATTTCCCACATTTTAGAGACAAAACAGCAACATGTCTTTGCAGGAAAACATCCCAGTTACTTAACAATAATCCACCACTTGTCTCTTAATACTGTATGTTATTTTATCTTTGCCCTTCTCATTCTTTTTGTCCTCCCTCCAGACCGTCTGCTTGAACCTCATCATGGCTCCCCATGAGGGAGAGAGGGGTAGGCAGCGGGAGGTGGCATTCCCTTTACACAGAGGAAAGGGAAGTTTGCATCCACATGGAGGGAGAGCAGCTACCCTACCCGGACCTGGCCCCAGTGGTGGCCTTCTGCCTGAAACAACCACAAGACCCAGGAAGTGGTGTCTGAAATGACTTACAGCCCATATCCTTTCTTACTGCTGTGAGTCTAACCTTGTCTAACACCTGTTAAAATTAAATATGTGTAATAATAATAGCATTATCTCTAAACTAGGTATCATACCACAGTGTATATTTCTCAGTGTATCCTTTAGGATTTAAAACATGTAGACTTTCCCCCCATGAATTTTAAATGTGTCTTTTTTCTCATCAATGTGGCTGTCGCATATTAAAATATCATAATATTGTATTAATTTAGCTATTATTAGTCCCATTAGCTGCTTATACTGTGTAATCCACTATTTTCTCCTGATGTATTACATGATTGAATCAATATGCTGTCATCCTGTGACCTTTGACCTTAACCACTTCCTCCACATGGCTGGATTATGCTTCCATACTGGTCATCCTGCTCAACTGTTGTTTCTGGGCATGTACAACCCCTGCGAGGAGAGGGGCTTCAACATGCATGTCAGTGTGAGCCCCCACTCTCTTGTAAGTGACACTGGCTGTGACATGTACAGTTACTGTGTCATGAAGACCTAGTTTGAACAACAGTTTCATTTCGTTCCAACACAGTGTAGTTGTTTACATCAGTGTCTGTTATTGAGGTGTGGGCTGGAAAACCTTTGCTGGAATGTGAATCTCTCATTGGATATGTGGTGTAGACTACTGTTGTATGTTTTAACAGATTTTATTTTTAATGTGAAGACTAGACTTAAAGTTCAGCTTGGCTGTCTTGGTTGCATGTAAAATACTTGTTTTATATCAGGGAATATTTTCATATTCTGCTTTCAGATTATAACGTGTGGATTTAACTCTAACTTGCCTCGTGTGTTTCAGTGCAATCTTAATTCTTGGCTTCAGAACATGGTCATTTAAAATTCAAAAATGTCCATCTGTATTGACGAGTAAACACAACCTTTCCCACTAAAAGCATGTAAGAATCAGTATATTTGTCTGTGCTGTATGTTTAACTATACATCTTTTTATCATTTGTCCCCAGGTACTACTGGATCTTTTCAGTTTTGTCTACTTCTCAATGGAACTGGTCATCAAGGTGGCAGCCCTGGACTCTCTGGCTACAACGGAAGTTACCTTAGCAACAACTGGAACAAGTTTGATGTCTTCATCTACTTTGGAGAGTGAGTATCCCACAAATCTCTTGTCTCTGCTTTGGCTTTTGTCTGCAGGTAGACAACAGCAGCAGTCACCTTAGGAATACATCATATTTATATCTCAGTGTGTCACAGCAGGTCCCACCTTTGTCTCCAAGTGTTTTACTATGTTTTAGAGTAAGCATCCTACACAAAAAGGTTTTAAACCACAAGACCCATGCTGGTTTTATTGACTTCATATTCACGATTAAAATGTGTGTATATTTTTTATTTTGATAATTTAAAGAACACAAAGTAAAAACTTTTTCCTCTTTTCTGTCTGCAACTATCCCTCCAGGGTGCTGGATTATCTTCTGGTTTCCCAAGGTATCAAGATACAGGTCCGTCATGCGCTCAGGCTGATGCGACTCGTAGGCAGAGTCCCAAGTAAGTGGTGTTTGATGAGAACACAATTTTCATTCTCCTCAGTGGTCCTCAAACGTGTTGCCATGGTTTTCATTCCTGCCGTCCGACCTGTGCAGTGGCTGAGAGATAATTTAAAATGGGCTAGGGTTAAATGCTCAAATGAAAGCTTTTCTCCAGAATCCAGAAATATTGATTCAGATAATCTCATCATCACCACTAAAAGTGGCGCCATTATTGAAAGAGTCATGCTGTACAAATATCTTGGCATTTGGATTTGATGAGAAGTTATCCTTTAAGAATCATGTATCAAATCTGGTGAGTAAATTTCAGGCAAAGATTGGCTTCCTGCTTCCTGTTGCATTGCAGAAAAACTGTTGTTTGAGGCAACTTTTTTTAATCAGTTTAATACAGGCTTTGGCTGGTACTTTAAAGCTCCTTGATGCAGTTACCACTCTGCTCACAGGTCTTCTCTCTCTGAGAGGCCAGATTTGCATGTGTATTTGTTTATTTACGAAGCTCTTCTTGAAAAACTGCCTTCATATCTATCTAACATCCATGTTAGTTTGGTCCACTGGACCACATTGGACCAGGACTAATGACTAGCTTATGCTCCATGTCCCTTGAGTTCATACTGAGCTTGGAAGATCTGCTTTTGGCTTCTTTGCACCTTCCACCTGAACTGTCTAACAAAGCACTTTAAAAACAAAGCCGTTGGTACCTCTTTGATCATTTTAGATTCTTAATCTCTAACCTTTTAATTTCAGTTTGTACCTGTTTTAATTGATTTTTGTGATGGCATTATTTGTGAATTGTATTTATATGTTGTTTTTAATTGATGTTTTTTTTAAACTGGTATATATCTCAATATATATACAGTATATATATACTGTATATATATATTTATACAGTACATATTCTGACAATATGTCAGAATAATCACCTCTGATGGAGTCGTCTCCCTGTCCTGTGCAGGTATGCAAGATATGGTGATGATACTCTTGGACACCTGCCGATGCTTGTGAACGTTCTCGTCCTGTACATCTTTGTCATGTTCATCTTTGCCATTGTGGGAGTTCAGCTGTGGGCGGGGAAACTGCGCAACCGCTGCTTCCTTGAGGTCGACATCCCAGAGTAAGAAAACTGCAGTTTTTTTTACTGCTATTAATTGCATTTGTGTATGTTGTGACTGACTTCTTCAAGACCTCAGAGCCAATTATAGGAACATATTTAACACAATAATGTGATGTTAGTCAGATACCTTTCTGCTTTTAATGTGTAAAGAATGCTGAGCAAGACACTAACTCACATTTCTGTGGATAAGAGCATCAATTAAATGCTGAAAATACCATGTAGTATAAGGCAGTTGTAGGATATCAGTTAATATATTAAAACTACATTAATAACAAATACTACATCTTGTTTTAGAGCATTAGGTTGTGGTATGTCTTCATATCTATCTATCTATCTATCAATCAATCAGACTTTATTTGTATAGCGTATAGCACTTTTTATACAAACAGTAACAGAATAGAAGCAATAAAAATCATCACATCAAACACACGCGCACACACACACACACACACACACACACACACACACACACACACACACACACACACACAGAGACCCCAGTCACCCCCATTTACACACAGAGCACTAAGTGATAAAAACAATAAAAGTTAAGACAACAATAATAATGAATGAATGAATAATGATCAAATATAATGTCTTTAAAACCAAGGGGGGCTGAGTGGATGGTTGCCGTGCCACCACCTATTTAACCTTTCCTGAAAGAGTATAAAATATTGTTTCATGGTGATGCTTCAACAAGGGCAAATGGTCCATCTGTGTTACTCCATGTCTCAGTTAAAAACATGCAGTCAATATTATTATCTAAACCCAGTCATCAATGAGAAATGTCTTGTTTAAAAGAGATCTTACATATAAAAGTGCTAATATTCAAGGTCACTGGTAAAGTTTTCTGAAAGGGAGAATTGGCAGATGGTGGTTTATGTGAGCATATAGATCTGACATGATTAAAATTCACGCCATAAGTTTGTTTGGTGTTATGTCGGTGGTGTTATTTCTGGTGATGATGACAACAGGAGTTGTTGAAATGTTGGAGATATCAAAGGGGGTCATATAAAATGGATGGGACGTCCGACCCCAGGGCAGCAGGGGGACTAGTATTAAAAACAGAGGTAATTGGAGGACAGCAGGAGTAATGACTGTGTGGTCCAGAGTTGTTGTGGAATGGATTAGTGTCACTAATACGATCCACTGTTTGTAATTTGGCTCAGTACAAAAAGACACTGTAACAGGCTCATGTGAAGTGTGAAGGCTACGTAATGACGTCTTCAGTGCAGCTGTGTGTATAAGCTGTTATTCTTTCTCTGTCCAGAAACTCCAGCGGGTCGTTAAATCCATACTATGTGTCCAAGTATGATGAGGAGAGCCCGTTCATTTGTTCGTATGACCACAGCAACGGGATGCGCCGCTGCCATGACGTGCCGCCTTACATCCGGGATGAGGAAACCTGTTCGTTGGCTGTTCCCAACCACAGTTCAGCTGCAAACAAGTTCTTAGTCCCTGGGGCCGCGGCTAACGCCTGTGTGAACTGGAACTTATACTATAACATCTGTCGCGCCGGGGACCACAACCCCAACATGGGAGTCACCAGTTTCGATAACATCGGCCACGCCTTGATCGTCTTATTCCAGGTAAGAGCATGTGCAGAAATAGATGCGGATGTTGGATTTAAAATTGAAGCTGTACTTTGACAGTTTATGTCAGTGACGGGGGTAACAGTCAGTGATGGGGGTAACAGTCAGTTATGGGGGTAACAGTTTGAATTTAGAGAAGGCAGGCATCATGTGAGGATGTGGTCCTCTGTCATCTTCTATCATCTCTGTCTGCGTTATCATCATAGGTGAGTCTATCTTTCCTCTGGCTGGAGAACCCGTCATCACTCTTTAGGACATACTGCAGTATTGAAGTTTTTATTCACTGTTTAGTTGTTGACCATGTCACGTTCTGCCTCCCTCCTCCTGCAGGTTGTCACACTGGAAGGTTGGACAGACATCTTGTTTTTTGTCATGGATGCTCATTCCTTCTGGAGCTTCATCTTCTTCATGCTCGTCACCATTGTAAGTAGCAACTTGTCTTAGTTTTTGTTGGTGAACAACATTAGTGTTTAACCATGTTCCCAAGTCTCCAACCACAACCTGACAACAATGAAACTAAGTGTTCACAATGATCCTGCCATGCTACAGATTTTTTTTAAATAACTCAGCTTTTTTGGATTAGAAAAAAATGTCTCTTAAGTGTAGATTCAAATGTTATGCTGCAGTAACAAACAGGAGTAGTTTATGCAATATATACAATATGAAACCTGCCAGGTAGTCGTGGTTACATAAAAAAACATACTGAGAACTAAAGCCCTAATTAAAATATTGGTAAATGACGTATAAAAACGTATTGTGTTGCTCTTATTGTTATTGTTTGAGCTGCAGTTCTACTAAAACCTTTATTTAAAGCTCTAAGTGTGGTGTGAGCTACGTTTATCGTGTCTTTTGATGCGTTGGAGAGAGTTAGAAAATGCATGAGAGAGGGCATGAAAAAGAGAAGAAGAATAGGAAACAGGAGAAAATGGATAGTTTTGATTGAAGGAACACAAACAACAAGAAAAACAAACTTTCAGAAAGACTTACTCCAAGAAATCAGCCACTAAATCAAACAGTTCCAAACTTTTTTATCTCCCTGTCATCATTTTTCTGTTGAGGCTGGTCATATTCACTATGTGCTCATGTTGCTGGTGCAGTGTCCCTAAAGATGTTTCCTTCCCAACCAGATGAGCTCCTTCATCATTATGAACGTGTGCGCGATCGTCATCGCCACGCAGTTCTCTGAGAGCATGACGCGGCAGAAGAGAGAGCAGCGAGCCAACCCTGTCGTGCAGCTGTGTCTCCAGTTCCTCCGCTGGCTGTGGACCATCGCCTGCAGCTGCATCAGGTCAGATAGTATAAAGGTTGTATCTGCAACTAAGACAAGTGCAGGTCAGATTTGTAGTCTGCAGTGATATCTGGTGGTATAATTTTATACCCTAACCCTCAAGCAGAATATGTGCAGTTCTTAGGATGAAAGTAGACGTAAATGTTTTCCTCTGGTGTCGGTTTAACAGTGCTTCTAGTTTCAGGCAGAGAAAATGAGCATTAACCCAAGTTTAAAATCAAACATGCCTTTAGATTGTCTCTGATCCTATGGGGACTGTTGTCAATAAATAACACGTCCTGTCTTTCAACCGACAGACGTCGTAACAGGGTGCAGCCCGTATGCAGCAGGAGTGAGACCGGTGGCATACTGGTGAGACTAGTCAACAGCTTCTTTTTTTTGTTTGGCAGAAACCACCATCAGCAGCAGCAGCAGCAGCAGCAGCGCCTTTGACTCACTAACTGACTCCCCCTGTCTTCCAGAAACATACCTGGGAGCCATTGAGGAGAAAACTTCTGAGGTTGATCAACAGCAAACTCTTTGACCGGGTGATCATGTTAGCCGTCTTCTTCAGTATTCTCGCCATGGCCATAGAACACCATGGGCAGGTGAGGAGCAAAGTGCTGCTGTCTCATTCACGACGTAAAGGGAATAGTAAACTGAGGAGTTCACTACTCTGTGTTTCTGTTTTTTCCTTCTTGCTTATTTTGTATTGATTGTTTATGTTCTCACGCCTCCCTCTTCCCTCTCTGCATTTCCACGTTCTCATGCGACCTGTTGCTCCCTCTCTCTCTTGCTCTCCCTCTCTCTCTTCCTCCAGCCTAAGCAGGTGGCAGAGATGCTGCGGATCAGTAACAACATCTTCACTCTCGTGTTTGTTGTGGAGCTGATCGTAAAGCTGCTTGCCCTCAAGTGGGCCTACTTCAAGGACCAAAACAACATTTTTGATTTTGCCATCGTTGTCATCAGGTAGTATGATCCTAAATGAAACCCATGGATACAATATTTAATAGAGCATATTAAAATGTGTTTGTTTTCTTTGGGTTTCAGCTTGTGGGAGACATTTGCCAAAGCTGATGGCAGGTTGTCCGTCCTGCGTGCGTTTCGTATGCTGCGGTTTGTGCGGCTGCTTCACTTCCTGCCTTACCTGAAGAGACAGCTGCTCGTGCTGAAGGCGACCATGAAGGAGGCAGCCCTGCTCTGCCAGCTGCTGCTGTTTGTCACCATCATTTTCAGGCACGTGCACTAAATCCTTCCTCCCCATGTGTCTGTTTGTGGATATCTGTCCCGTTACAATGCTGTTCTAATGCTATAATAATCACCACATTTAAGTGATTGTGTCTGGTTTCTGTGCAGTGTGATAGGCATGTGCCTGTTTGGTGGCAAATTTACCTTCGAGACCCAGAGCGGAAGCACCATCAAGGACCGGATGAATTTTGACTCCCTACTGTGGTCCATGGTCACTGTGTTTCAGGTCAGTTTTTGACGTCCTAATCCGTGCCATCATCGTTGTATTCCATCATCATGCTGTTTGTGCATGAATCTGTCTTGCTCTCTTTGATTAAATTTATCAATGTAGATCCTGACTGAGGAGGACTGGAATCTGGTGCTGTACAATGCCGTGGCTGCCACCTCCCAGTGGACCTTCTTCTACTTTTTCGCCATCATCGTGGTCGGAAAACACGTTCTCCTCAACGTTCTCATGGGCGTAGTTGTCCAGAGCTTCCAGGCCATAGTGAGGACCTCTGTTGTACTTTTCTCCAAGAGCTCGATGTTTTACAATTTACACACACAACGTGTCTTTGAGGAACGCACACTCAAACACTTGCATACACACCTATGCTGATGTCTATTTGTTTTAGCACTCCTCAGATTCAGATGACGAAGACTCCATCAGCTCCACTTCATCCAGCCAGACTTCTGAGAGCGAGTCTTCACTGAGTGAAAACCACGAGACAAATGTAAGTTCCTCAGAGTCACAGCTTCCATGTTCTGGTTTCAGAATCTAGTGAGAGGTGTCTGAGATAGTGATCAATCTGTTTACCTCCACTTCATGTTGTTCCAGGGTTCCTCTAGACCCGATGAAGACTGCCCTCTCCCTCCATGTGGATCCGGCAGCCCCACTGTGATCAGCTCTGCACCTACAGATACCAATGACCATGACGTGAGTTCCTAAGAGCAAGAGTTTGGGATTTTACAAGGTTTTACACACAATGATGCAGCAGCAAGAAATGTGATCAAAGCTGATTTTGGATTTTACAAAAAAATGACTTTGCCTTTATTCTGAGCAACATTTTGCTGGTGCACCACACCTCTGGTGGTTCACTGACAGATGTGTAACTGTTCACCTCTGCAGATGTCTTTGAGCTGGATCCGGAGAGTGCTGCGCTGGTGCAGACAGCATGAGGACTGGTCCTTCTTCCTGTTTTCTCCACAGAACAGGTAAGTCTCAGGACTTCACACATAAAACTTAGTAAGGAGCTGGTGCAGCCAGAGAAAAAAGCCTCAGAAGGTGTTAAAGTCTTACATTTCATTAACAATGGTCTTGAATATTTTTTCTTGCTTTTTCTTTTTTGATTTTAGCTACAACTTAGCCAAATTATTATTTTTCAATCTGTTTATTAATATCCTGACATTTATGCGGGTGAATTCATTTTTATACATTTATATTATTGAGACTTACTGTTATATCCTGTTATTTCTTCATACTTTGGCTGACAGGATGGTGATGCTGAAACCCTGTCATATGATAGACAGCTTTAGGCAATCGGTGCAAAATCTCATGATCTTCAGGATGAACCATCAGAAATATTTTAATATTTTTTAATCTTTTCTTTCACTGTGTCTTTCATTTTCTTGCTTTTCCTCTCATGTTTTCACTGTTGCTGCTTGTGTGTGTTTGTGTCCAGGTTCCGTATCTTCTGCCAACGCGTGATCTCTCACCCGATATTCGACTATGTGATCCTGCTCTTCATTTTACTGAGCTGCGTCACTCTTGCTATAGAGAGGCCTGGAATCAACCCGACGAGCAGGGTGAGACACACGTGTGACCTGCAGTCACCGTCAGCAAACACACACACATGCCCATCCACTCAGACACATACATAGTACAATAAATACAGACGCATGCACACACACACAGCACGTGTCCTCACAGTACACTCATACTACATGAAATGTTTGAGTTGACATGGAAAATACAAGTTTGATGACGCACAATACCAAACACACGCAGGTTAAGATGAATCTCACTCTGCCCTTCAGGAGCGACAGATCCTGAAATTGTCCAATTACGTTTTCTCTGCCGTCTTCCTGGTCGAGATGCTTTTCAAGGTAAACACCGCTTTTGTTTTTTTAACTGCAGAGGTCTATGGTGAGTGTGAAATGACATTCATATTATACCTACTGGTGATTACAGTTACTTCCTGACCTTGAGATCAGTTTGGACTGAGGTTTATAATTTTAGATCATCTTTAAACAGATTTTGTAGCTAGATAAGATCTAAGATTTTAAGAAAAACATTTTTCATAATATTTTAATTTTGCATTGATGAGTTGTTGCTCTCACACCAGATTGTAGCTCTGGGTTTGGTGTATGGGAAGGACAGCTACTGCCGGTCCTCCTGGAACGATGTGGACGGTTTATTGGTGATTCTGTCTTTTGTCGACATCATCGTCTCTCTGGCCAGCAGGAGCAAAAACAAAAGTCTGGGCTTCCTCAAAGTTTTACGTCTGCTGCGAACGCTCCGCCCCCTGAGGTACCTCCTGTATTTGTGTGTAGCTTCATGATCTGTGTGTGTGTGTGTTTACAGATCCCATCTTATTTCCTGTTTCATATCTCAGTCAGTTGTGTGAGTGTGTGTGTGTGTGTGCATTGGTTTTAATAAATGTCTGTGTGGGCTCCAGGGTGATCAAGCGAGCCCCGAAACTGAAGCTGGCTGTGGAGGCTCTGATGGCCTCGGTCAAACCCATCGGAAACATCGTTCTCATTTGCTGCGCCTTCTTCTTTTTCTACGGCATCCTTGGGGTGCAGGTAGGTTGGCATGCACACACACATACAGTAGATGTCTTTTACCCCAACTGACAATGACGTTTTAAAATGAACAACACAGCCTTTGTCTGCTGAGAATGTGTTGGTGTTCATAGTTCATAGTTTAACAGCCTTGTAGCTTTCATGCAGCTGAGAAATAAAATACAGTAACTACAGAAACTCTGTCTTCAACTCACACAAACACTGCAGCTGTTCAAAGGGAAGTTCTTCCACTGTCTGGGCGAGGACATCACAAACATCACCAGCAAGACTGACTGTCTGTCGGCCGACTACCGATGGGTGCGAAAGACGTACAACTTTGACAACCTGCCTCAGGTAATGCACCGAGGGACGTGGGGTTTGGACATTAATGCACAGCACGATCGATCTCAGTACAAAATGAAGCAGGTAGAAACAAGGAGCGAGGAGTCAAACGGAAACTTTGTCTTTGATCCTTAAGAAGATATATTTGTGATTTTAAGAACCAAAATCCATCTCAAAGTAGTTTTACATTTCCTCTCTCAGCCTTCTCTCTGGAGCTCTAGTAACAACAGGTCAGTGAGCCAATCAGAAGGTGCCGTGCTGCGTCGACAAATGCTTCAGCATGTTGCTGATGTTTCCACCATTGCTTGAAATCTTAGTGCCACAGACATTGCACGTTGCACTGTTAGCATCATTTTGTGTCAAATTAAGCCACACTTCCTCGACTCCTCGACTGCCTCTCGCTAAAGCGTGTCGTCATTGTTTTGAAAGGCACACGGAACTAAGTGGAAGGCATTGATAAGTGAATGGTTAAGCATAAAGACAAATGATGTCGATGGATCGAACCAGTTGGAACCGGTTCTCAACTGGATCCGGTTCTCGATTGCCATCCCTAGTGTTGACTGAGCAGTTATTGTCTGTCTGTTGTTTCTCGTCCAGGCTCTGATGGCCTTGTTTGTAATGTACTCAAAGGACGGCTGGGTCAACATCATGTATGATGGGCTGGATGCTGTGGGAGTAGACCGACAGGTATGTTTATGCTTCTACATGGTAAGGCAAGGATGGATAGGCCTGATGTTCATAGTGATGGATTGCTCTACATTATACTGTGCTTTACAAACAGCAGTGGAACAAATCAGTCCTGTCATTTTAATTTGGTCTCTTCTCTTCTACTTTCAGCCTGTGAGGAACAACAACAAGTGGATGCTGTTGTTCTTCATCACCTTCATGATAATGAGCTTCCTTCTCCTCGACATGTTCATCGGCGTGATGGTGGAGACCTTCCACCAGTGTCAGCAGGAGCAAAAAAGACGGGATCAAGAGGAGGAGGGAGGAAGGGCACGGCCAGAACAAGTCAGGGGTAAGGAGAAAGAGTTAGTTCCTCATCTATGTATCATGTATGTGTTTGAGTTTACACACATACATAATTATCAATTGTGAATGTCTGCATCTCTGTGTGTTTGTGCATGTTCACAGATACGGAGGTTGAGCAGGCGCCATATTACACCAGCTACTCCCCCATCCGTCAGTTCATCCACAGTGTGTGTGTCAGCAACGGCCTGGATCTCATCATGAACCTCACAATCGTCCTCAGTGTCATCTTCATGGCTTTGGAACATTATGGTCAATCTCTGGTAATGCACAATGCACACACACACACACACACTAACACACTAACACACTAACACATGGACACTGTGTAGAGGATATTCAAACACTGACTGAGCATGGACTCTGTGAGGGCACAGAGTTAAACCTGTGTTTGTCTGTGTGTTCAGTACATAGAGAATCTGATAGAGAGGTCCTACTACGTGTTAACTGCCTTCCTGATCATTGAAGTCCTGTTGAAGCTTGTGGCCTTTGGCGTGTGGAGATTCATAACTAACAGGTAACACGCTACAATTAGCCAGAATTCAACTTCTTTATTCGCTTTTGTGTATTAGGTATTGTTACCATGACTTGTGTGTGTGTGCGTGTGTGTGTGTGTGTAGGTGGAATCTGTTGGACATCATTGTGGTCTTCGTCTCTATCATCAGCATCATTCTCAGGATGAAAATGATGAACACAGTTCCTATCAATCCCAGCATCCTTAGAGTCACTAGAGCACTAAGACTTGCACAAGGTACAAGCACACACAGACACACAGACACACAGACACACACACATACACACACACACACACACACACACACAGACACACACACACACACGACAAACTGAAATCGTATTAGTTCTGAAGTGTGTGTGAGTGTTGGGTGTGAACAGTTCCTGTGTCTCTCTTCAGTGCTAAAGGCCAAGAAGATCCGAGTCCTCCTGACAACCATCATCAAAACGCTGTCACAGGTAAAAACACACACACACACACACACACACACACACACACAGTGTGGGGTTGATTCATTACAAATGTAAAGTGAGTGTGAATGCTTTTGTTTTGCTGAGTCCATGAGTTTCTTTGGTTCCAGGTTGGAAATATCTGCCTGCTCTTTATGTTCTTCTTTTTCATCTACGCCGTTTTGGGAGTGGAGCTCTTTGGCAGCCTAGGTCAGTCTCACACACACACACACACACACACACACACACACACACACACACACACAAACAGATCCCATCTTTGCTCACCTGTGTGGAGCTCTGTTCTGTCTCTAAACTGTTGAATCTGAAGCTGATGCTGTTTGCACATTTCAATTTTGGGATGAATAAACTTTTATCTGCTGAGTCAAACACATCTCTGAAGGATTTTTATTGTCCACAGTGCAGAAAGACAAAAACACTGTGTGTGTGTCTGATGTGTACATGTGTTGATCAGAATGCAGCGACGATCACCCGTGCCTGGGTTTACATCGGTACTTCAACTTCAAGCACTTTGGACTGGCCCTGCTCACACTCTACCAGGTGTGCACCGGAGACAACTGGAGCGGGATTTTGAAAGTACGCACACACTCATACATGCACACACACACACACACTCATACATGCACACACGTCCAGCTACCCACTGAGAGAGCAGTCACGTCCAAAAGTATGTAAGGGATAAGACACAACAACTGAACTTATACCCTAGACATATGTGATCAAATTCAAAACACAGTTTGTTCAGTCTAATATTGGTGTGTTGATTTATACCTGGACACAAACACCTGTGTCGTAGGTGTCAGGTTGTTTCAGCCAGTGAGAGAGCGATTCCTCTATAGTGTGATTTGATAGGACGACGTGCAGGTTGTTTTAAAAAGTTTTGTTTTAGTGAACAGCATGAGGTCAGTGGATGAATCTTCACGACATGAGGTTTCATGGGAAGTCTCCATTTCACTGTTAAAGAAACTCTGGCACCTCTTACATTACACTCTGTGATTTTCGAGTCTTTTTCTATTTATTTTCTGCAGTCACAGTTCTGTTCATAGTTTTGTTCTAATTATAGGACAGGAGTGTTTTAGTTTTATTATTCTTCTTCAAACTTCATTGTAAGTTACAGACGCATGAATAAAGTTTCATTTGAATAATTTGTGTCCGATCCAGATGGGAATATTGTGTATTCTCTACATTCTTTTCTTTATTTTTTCTGTTTTTTTATTACGTTTCTAATGGTCTGATTATTCAGAATGCTGGTAACTAAACAGAGAAGATTTCAGTCTGTGTGCCGCTCCTCTTCCTCTCTGATTCTCGCTCTGTGTCTCTCTAGGACACCTTGAGAGAGTGTTCGCCCGGCAGCGTTTCCTGCTTGGCTACCTGTCCTGGGTCTCTCCGCTCTTCTTACCACCTTCGGGTCATGGTCCAGTTTGTGCTGGTGAACCTGGTGGTGGCGGCTATCATGCAGGCTCTGGAGGACAGCACCATGGTACAGTCAGTGAACATGCACAGACAAACACACAGTCATTGTTTGACAGGAACAGCTCTGAGGCTTTATTTTATGATTTTCTTTTCTTTACATTTTCTTAATAATTTCCTGGAAAGTTTCCTGGAAAGAGCCGAGTAATCTGGTTCTAATTATACTTAAAACAGACACATGATCTTTATTTTACTTATATTATACATAAAATTAATTAAATGAATTGTATGTGAAATTTATCTACAGTCAATCAAACAACTATAATATGAATATCCAATTGACAAATGAATAGTGGATTAATATTTACTTCTTTCAAGCAATCCCAACTGCACATAAACTCAAAACAGAAATGAATTTTAATTCGCTGGCTCAGACTTGATCTGTATTTTTTCTATAATTAGTACCAAATTAAATCAGTATAGCAAAAGAATCTCCTCCTACTGTAACTCACTATACAACAAATAAACACTGAGGATGAGATTTAATAAAAGAGCAAATTCACACATATATACATATATACTTAAATACAAGATTATCTGTGGTCAAAAGTCAGTTCAGTTTTTTGTAGATAATTCAGAGTAACTGGGGTTTTGTGTTTGTAAAATGTAATTAATCACCTTCAGCCCCGCTGTCAGAACACACACCTCTGAAACTGAATCCTAATAATGCTAATAAACCAAAGCCTTGATAGCTGACTGTGAGACTGAAATACAACTGACAGAAAAACTCTACTAACCCTGTCTCTCCTTCCGAGGAGGAGGAACGAGGAGAAGGCCATGCTGCACGCAGAGCGGGCCCACTGTCTCCAGAGGAGGGCGTCGGCTCCGAGGGCCACGTAGATAGATCTGACACGGAGCCGGCCCCTCCGTCTCCGGCACAGTCCCAGATCAGATCCAGCTCTGTAGACCGGTCTTCATAGTAATCAGTCAGTCAGTCAGATTGAGTCAGTCAGTCAGTTCAGTCAGTGAGTCAGTCAGTCAATCAATCAATCAATCAATCAGTCAGTCAGTCAGTCAGTCAATCAACCAATCAATCAATCAATCATCATCAGTCAGTGAATCAATCAGTTAGTCAGTTAGTCAGTCAGTCAGTCAGTCAGTCAATCAATCGTGTATATTTGTAAATAACATGAATCCCACATGTTCCTATAACTTTTTTGAATCTTAATCTTAACTCATCTTTTTTAATCTTTTTTTTTTGTGTAGTTATGATAAGATAGTTACTTTTACATTTGAATGTTTGTATTTTATCTTTAAATTGGTAATAGATGTTATATAAATATAATATTTTTCTTTCGATACTGCTTTGTTTTATTTAAATGTTGTTGTATTTTTAGTTGTAAATATCAGTAAAATAGATAATAATAACTGAACAAACCTGATTTTACCGTTGTTGTGACTTTTAATTGATTATTCAGTGGTTTTTAAGCAGTGACATAAACTGGCTTTAATGTGCAGTGTATGAATGAACAATGAATGAATGGTGTTACACAGAAAAATAATTGTTACCATTTTATAAATTGCAGTTTTGTTACCATCATATTAAAAATACGTTGGGTACCAAAGGTTCAAAAACTAGAGCCACAAAGCCAACAGGAAACAAACAGCTGCAATCAGTTTATCGTTGTATTTACAGGGATATTGATTTACGGATGCTAGCCATGGTTCTAATTAACAAAGGAGAAAAAAACATTACAAAATTGCCCAACAAATCCAAAATCTGGCCTTTAAATCATGAAGTTTTAAATAATAATTAGCTTTACTTCATTAATTAAAAATAGAAAACAAATAGAGTAAAAATAATCAAATTAGAATACGCCATGATCCCAACAAAAAAGATAAAGAAAATACTACTTACACTAAAAGATTTAAAAAAAACACACATGCAAACACACTAGAACTCAAAAGGTGAAGAGGGTTTGGAGACAAAGGGAAGTCCTGATCCTGGCCTCTGTTTACAAGGTGGGAGGAGTACTTCCACAGGTGTGTGGTGCTTGTGGAGAGAGCTGAATAGGAGGAGGTACTTCCACAGGTGTGTGCGTGCTTGTGGAGAGGAGGGAATATGACTGTAGTTTGTAACAGCTGATATCAGTTTGGATGTAAAGCATGGACACCGACCACAGCCGCCTGCTTCCTGGGAAAATCTTGCTGTCTAACAAAACCTTTTATACCCTGCCACTTGGCTAAACTGACAAACATTTCAGGGGAAATGTACTCTTCCCTCTTCAAGGATCAGGCAGATCAGGGAATTGAAGGAAAGTAGACTTTATGACAAACCCATTACTATTGAAATGATGTGACTACAAGACCAGCAAAGGTGGTAGCCATCTTGGAAAGATGTGTGAATGTTCCCAAATCTGAATAATGAGGTTTTCCTGCTCTATTCATTGTGTAAATGCAACGCATGGTTCACCCACATATTTGACTCCACGTATTTTAGACCTCTTAATTCATTCTCAATATTAACAATAGAGACTAACACCAGACTTATCCAGGGTTCTCACACTCCTGGAAAACACATGGAAAATGGAACATGGAAATATAAAGGGACATCACTGAACTGCCAGCTCTTGCAGGACCCTGATCCTACCAACTCTCTCATTGGAGTCCTCGTTCGATTTAGGCAAGAGCCTGTTGCAGTAATGGCTGACATCCAATCCATGTTTCATCAAGTTCATGTCTCAGATAAGCACATCAACTTTCTTCGCTTCCTCTGGTGGCCTGATGGTGATACTGTGCAGTCTCCACTGGAATATCATATGAAAGTACATCTGTTTGGAGCTGCATCATCACCAAGTTGTGCAAATTATGCTTTGCGGAGACGTGCAGATGATAATGCCCAACATTTCCCTCTTGAAGTGGTTAATACAGTCAAACATAACTGTTATGTGGATGACTGCCTGAAATCCATGGCTTCAGAGCAGGTCAATTGCTGAGGACAGCAGAGCAAAGAAGATGATGGAAATGGATTTGGATACAGATCAACTTCCAATGGAACAAGCACTAGGACTAGTAGTGCATTGAAACTGACAAGTTCAAGTTCAGGATCTCAGCGCGAGAACAGCCACAGACCAGAAGAGGCATTTTGTCAGTGGTCAGCTCACTTTATGACCCTTTGGGATTTCTTTCCCCATTCAGTATGCCAACTAAGCTGTTGCTGCAGGAACTTTGTAGGAGAAACTTGGGGTGGGATGAAGCTATTCCCCATTTCTTCTCTAAGCGATGGTCTGATTGGCTGGAGGACCTCCAAAAGGTGGCTGAGTTCAAAGTGGATCGCTGTGTTAAACCCAGAGGCTAGTCAAGTTGGATATGGAGCCTTGTCTTACTTGAGACTGGAAAAAGATCATAAAGTACATGTTGCATTTCTCTTGGGAAAGAGCAGAGTTTCTCCACTTAAGCAGACTACAATTCCTCGACTGGAACTCACAGCTGCAGCTCTTGCTGTTCAAGTTGATAAAATGCTTTTCAGAAGGAGCTACAACTTAAGCCGGAGAAGCCAGTTTTCTGGACTGACAGTCCTTAAATATACCTGTAATGAAACCAAGCAATTCCACAGCTTTGTGGCAAACAGAACCTCTGTCATCAGAGAAGCAGCAGATGTTGATCAGTGGAGATATGTGGGTTCAAAGGAGAATCCAGCAGATGAAGCATCGAGAGGAATGAGAGCTGAGGATTTCCTGAAAGGCAGGAGATGGATAAATGGACCTGAGTTTCTCTATAGATCAAAGGAGGAATGGCCTAACCTGGATGTGGATCTTGATGTGATTCTTGTAGTAGACCCAGAGGTCAAAAGGGACTTGACACGCTCTTGTCAAGGATTTGGAAAATGCCACCAACCGCCTGATCCATTACTTTCCGTCTTGGATGAGGCTAAAAACATCTGTAGCTTGGTTTTGGAAGGTCAAGGGAATTCTCATGTTACTGGGACAGAAGGGAAAGGAATTTTGTGCTTCTGCAGGCCATGGTAAGGACAATCTGGAGATTCAAGAACATGAAGTGGAAAGAAGAATTCAGAGCTTTAAAGCCACACTCAAAGGACAAAGTCTAACTCCTGAAGATCTTGCCAAGGCAGAGCAGTCAATCATTCAAAGACATAAGTTCAGAGCTGAAATTGCCTCACTGAAGGGTGGCTTTAAAAATGTCCCCAAAGAGAGTCTACTGTATAAACTGGACCCAGTAATGGATGATGAAATCCTCAGAGTGGGTGGTCGGTAAAGCAGCACTGGCCAGTAGAATCCAAACATCCAGTAATTTTGTCCAAAGAACTGCATGTATCCAGACTAATTTTTCGCCATATCCATCATCATCTGGGACATTCTATCACTTGACTGACCAGTCGTGCTGTGCACTTGAAAGTGGTATACAGACTGGATACAGACTCCTGTATAAATGCGTTTTATCTGTAGACAAGGCCCAGTCTCAATTATCAGGTCTGATAACGGCACAAACTTTGTTGGAGCCAACCAAGAGCTGAAAGAAAGTCTGGCTGTTCTGAATCATGGCAAAATTCAAAGGGCTTTGGTCCAGGATGGCATACAACACACCAGCAGCTTCCCATCATGGTGGCATCTGGGAGTGCCTGAGTGGTTCAGTGACAAGTGTTCTCACCAGCAAATTCTGGACGATGAAAGGCTCCAAATGATTTTTTGTGAGGTTGAGGCAATATTAAATGATAGACCCATCATGAAGGTCTCAGATGACCAGGGTGACCTTGAAGCCCTGACACCAAACCACATTCTAATGTTAAAGGACAAACCAATCATGCCACCAGGACTGTTTGACCAAAGTGATCTATACATCAGGAAAACGTGGAAGCAAATACAGTACATGGCTGAACTCTTCTGGAAGAGATGGATTTCTGAGTACCTACCCAGGATGCAGGAGAGACAAAAATGGACAAGGCCAAGAAGAAGCCTCGCTCTTGGAGACATTGTCCTTGTTGCAGATGCCACAGCTCCAAGAGGATCTTGGGTGATGGGGAAGTTTTGGATGTCAGACCAGATGCAAAGGGTCTGGTGCGCTCTGTGCACCTTCAAACAAAGACCAGCATTCTGGAGAGGCCTGTGACGAAGCGTTGTCTGCTACTGGAAGCAACATTCTACAGGACTGACTTCTTTCTCTACTTCTATTTTTCTCTCTATCTTCTCTTTTTTTTGTAGGTTCATTAAGAAGAAGAATTATTTAAGGTTAATGCATGACACATGGAGTATTACTAATTTCATAGTTCATGTTGTGGGAATTGCTCCTTTTGAAAATAACAGTAATAGTGATTTAATTCACAATTAGGGGTTGGAGTGTTGGAGCTATTTATTTGTTGTTAGTATTTAGTTGTTATTTTATTAATAATTAGTTAATTTTTAATTTAGTTAATTATTGCTTTATTGATTATTCTAGATGTTTGCTTTATTTAGATTAGATTTGATAGTATTTTCTTTTGCTAGTCGTTTGTTTAGTTTACTTATTTTCTTGTTTAGCATATTTAGTTTTTATGCGTTACTAGTATTTTGTTTGTTTTTGTTTTGCTTATGAATTGGGTAACACTGTGGGCACCTGAGGTTATTTAGGTAGGAAGGCAGGCATAGGACCAGAATGCACCTGGGTGGGCCTATGGTTTTTTACCAGAGCAAGAGAGGCATGCAGTAAACAGGATTTCTTTGTTCTTTGCGTGCTTGCTTGTTTCGACAAATAAAACATAAGTAACGCAGAAACTTGACATGGATAATGCGCTTCTTTTGCCTGCATTCACCTCAT